CGAGAAAAAAAAAAAGAAAAAAAAGGAGAAAAAATAGGAAAAAAACAATAGGAAAAAAAAAGGAAAAAAAAAAGGAAAAAAGAAGGAAGAAAAAAGAAAAAAAAAAACATAGGAAAGAAAGAAACGGCCACGTGTTTCACGCCCGCACCGACAGTAAGTGCGAACGGAGCGCTGCGCTATTTTGCGCTAGCGTCCGCCCAGGCCCGTCGGGCTGTTGCCCGTGGGAATCCGACCCCAAGCCCGCCGGCTTGCCAGCTCCAGCCTCTCCCGCCATCGCGCCCAGCCAAGCTGAGCGCCAATCGTTCGAACTTTGAAGCCTGGCGGCCAAGCCGCCATCGCCATCAAGGTGTAGGTATCTCACGCTCAACGCGCGAGCGCCTGACCTCGTCCTCGCCAATCAAGAAGGAAGACCAACGAACATCTGGAGGGTGGCCAGACCACGACCACCAGCCAACGAGCTTCACCTGCAGTCTGACAAGCCGCTTCCGCCATCGCGCCCAACCAAACTACACGCCACGCGATCAAACGTCGAATCCGGGTGGCCAAGCCACCATCGCCATCAGGGTGTAGGTAGCTCACGCTCAACGCGCGAGCGCCCGATTTCGTCATCGCCCACACCACGGTCTCGTCGGAACGGCTTGGTCGGAGTCGTTTTCCAGCCGCCCCACCCGACCATCGTCACGCGAATTTTCCCGCGCGCTGGTTCGCCTGGACGAGCTCGCCCGCGCGTATCCGCCCTCAAGAACTCCGGACAAGGGAGGCAAGATCCGCCATTGCTCCGAGCTCGGTGTAGAAGCTCCCGCCACCACTCAAGCACCCGACTCGCACTTCCAGAGCAGGCGCTCAAGAGCCGGGTTCCAGCTTGGAAGGCAGAAGCAGCCCCTCCATGTGACAAGCCGACGTCAGCCATCAACAGCGAAGACAACTGGGCAGCCGCCTCGTCACGCACAAGCCCCCAAGAGGCCATCAGGAGAGACCGCCCACCCTGCAACCAAGTTCGTCGTCGAGGTAAAACTTGCGACTACTCACTCAAGGTAAGGAGAGGTTAAACGAAAGCCGCCCCGAGCATCCATGCCACCCTATTAACTCAAACCAACCAGCCTGTGAACCCGCTCTAGCCCTCTAACACACTCCTCGTCCCCAACCAGAGCTCCAAGATCCTTGACCGCCCGACTCCTTCCCTTAGCCCCCAACCACCCTTCGCTAATCCCACCAAGACCTACCGCCTGTCCACTCACAAATCAACGACGCCATCTCCCCCACATGACTCACCTCAACTTCATCTGAGAGAACCTTCCCTAATCGCAGACACCAAACATACCACGACTAACCCCTGCCCCATACCCCGCCGACCGCAGTCACACCTAACCCCCTCTCCC